TGTGCTGTTCTTCCCTTGTGATTTGGACTGTTCACACTTGTGCTTTTCACTCATGTAGTAGGTCGTAGTGCTCCGATTCTCCCTTGAGTATTGTGCTGTTCTTCCCTTGTGATTTGGGTTGTTCACACATGTGGTAGTAGTGCTCGGATTCTTCCTTGAGTGTTGTGCTGTTCTTCCCTTGTGATTTGGACTGTTCACACTTGTGCTTTTCACTCATGCAGTAGGTAGTAGTGCTCCGATTCTTCCTTGAGTGTTGTGGTGTTCTCCCCTTGTGATTTGGACTGTTTACACTTGTGCTTTTCACTCATGTAGTAGGTAGTAGTGCTCTTATTCTTCCTTGAGTGTTGTGCTGTTCTTCCCTTGTGATTTGGATGTCGGGTGCCCGAGGCCGAGCTGAAGAAGACAACACTTCGCATTTTTAGAGGCCCAGTAGTTGTAGGCTACGTCCAAGTGGGTACCAGTCCAAGTAGTCTGAATCTAGGGCCTGTATGGGCAATATCAGAGATTGCAATGATATTTCCCTCCGAAAGGGAGGAGGTACCAGTTGCTTGGAGGCCGCACGACCTGGAAGTCACTGCCCAAGAGGCAAGTAGGCCGCTATATCTCCAGGAGGAGCGAAGTGCTGCTCCTCATTTGCTGCGTGCAAGTTTGTCGACCTGCTGCTGCGCTGGCTGGAGCAGCGCTGTGGCCCGTGGGGAAGAAGGACACCCAGCTCCTATGGTGGAGGAGTTCAGGCTGAAGGAGGAGAAAGAAGGGACTAGAAGAGGGGATCACCAGGGGTACTTTCCTGGCTATGGTGGACGCCATCTTCATCACCTTGGTAGGTGCTGCATCTGGAAGACCCCCGTTGGGGTAGAGCGGCATCAAGAAGCTTCGAGGCAGAGTCAGGCATGTCGGCCTGAGCAGGAGAAGCCATAGCTGCTTTGAGTTGTCTAAGGCCCTAGTAGTCCGCCATAACCTCGGCCTTCATGAAGAGGAAGGAGAAGGGTGGCCATGGCTATGGGTGGACCTCATGTTGTGCCTGCAGTAGAAAAGGGATTCGGATATTAATTCTGGTTCAGCCATTCATCATTATTATTATTATTCATCGTGTGAATAAGAGGTGAGGAGAAAAGGAGTTTGGTTGGCGAGAAGAACGGGAATTATCATTGGTCTTTGCTGGTGTACATCTTCTTCTTCTTCTTTCTTCCTTCTTCTTCTTCTTTCCCTCTCTCTACTCTCAAGTTCATTCATTTCTTTTTTGCAATTGGAGCATTGTGCTTTCTCGTGAATTTGTACTTCGAAATTGGCCAGATGGTAAGGTGGCCTTATGCAGGTATGCCGAGTGCAAGGAACATGAATATGGACACAACACAGAAATCCAGAAAGCAAAATCACACTGAAGTCCAAGTAGTCAAAGCCAAAGCAGATAGTACAATGGAACCGAGTAACCATCCAATTGAGAATGATACAGAAGAATCGTGAGTCAATGTCCATGCCGAACAGGGCAACACCAACAGCATAACCCAAATGTAGCTCTCTCTTGTGAATGGCGCCAGGTGCCCTATCTACTCTAAAGCCTATCCTACAAATACAGCAATGAAAGCAACCAGACAACTTGATTGCCAGCGAGTGATGGTGTCAACACCAATGCCGACCTCTACCTCCACCAGGTACGTGTCTTCTTCACCCACACTCTCCCTTGTACCCACACAGCGCCCTTCACCTCAGAAGAACCACCTTCGCCCTCACCTCCCCTGCGCCCTCTTGTGCAGCCCGGCTATGGCCGCCAAGCGCCTAGTGCACACGCAGCGCCCTACCGCCTAGCGCATGCCTCCCTTGCACTCTCTCTTAGAGCAGCGCAGCAGCGCAACAGCTTGCATTAGCGCAGCGTGCCGGCATTGCCAGCAATGGCCAAGATCCCTGCCCACTCGCCCTGCTTGCCGATATGCCAGTGCTGCGTGTGGGCGGCCTCCCTTCAGCTTGCGACTGGGCCCCAGAGGCTGAAACCAGCCCGATACAGTTGGGCCCCGGGGCAATGCAGTTGCGCCTCCTTCATCGAGGTCTGCGGCCAGATTCAGATACTGGGCAGATTTCCCTTTGGCATTTTCGGCCTCTATACCCAGCATGCATTGTCGACCTCTCGTTCGAGTGCCCAGGGCCTAACTAACTCATAGGCCCTGGGCTTTCAGCATTTGCTGAAATTCGGGACTCGGTGCACTCCAACCAACTGGCGTGCTGAAACTGTATGGACGCCACTTCGTGAAATGTTGGCACAGAGGGCTCTTTTTGATTTCCTGGCCCGCCTTCACTTAGGGCGGGCACGAAGCTTGCTGGGGCCTTAGCCCAGAACATGTACATCATGGCAAGGCCCCTTCTTGAGGGCTCGATCCTCACATTCCATCCCCCTTAGCTTCGAAAGTCCGCTGAGATGCTTACTTCGCAGGTGCCTTCCCTTTTAGCTTTCTTTTATAATCTGGCACCACCTGAGGAACTGTTTCCATCAGTTCCTCCCGGGTAAACCACCGATCTTCTTTTGGATCCGTATGATGCCTGAATCTGACGCGGTACTCCCTCTTGGGTTTAGGAGGTCTTCCTCGACCCAGCGGCTTCGGAACAGGCATATCCCTGTGATCCACAATGTCGTCGATGTCGACTTGTCCATCCATGGTTGGGGGCAGCATCGATCTCCTGGAAGGGAATTGATCAGTCTCAGCGAAAGGTGCAAGCTTTGAGGCATGAAAGACTGGGTGAGTGTGTAGGTGTCCAGGGACACGAATGACATACGTAGGACCATCCATTTCATCTCCCACTATATCTAGGACTTCCCAGGGACCAAAATACTGAGGCATTTGTTTACGAGAGATTCTGAATTCTTGTCCTAGCTCCCTAGCCTTAACCCAGACACGTTCCCCCACCTGAAATGTGGACTGTCCACGATGTTGATTCTCAGAAGCAATCATTGCTTGCTGAGCTTTCTTCATGTGCTCGACAACTTCTTGCAGCAACTTCTCATAATGCACACCATACTCGAGTGTGCCTGGAGTTGCGGCAGTTCGGTTTTCGGGTAGGAGGAAGTCTAGTGCTGATCTAGGCTTCCATCCTAAGTGTAGCTGATTAGGACTCATGCCGGTACTGCTATGTACAACATTGTTGTACAGGTTGGTGATGAGAGGCAATTGCTCATCCCAGTCTTCCTGGCTAGGCTTGATGTAATGCCTCAGCAAGTGCTGCACAACTCTGTTCATTTGCTCGGCCTGTCCGTTGGCTTCAGGATGATTTCCTGAAGTCATTTGAAGTTGACTGCCCATTTGTTCTGCAGTCTTCTTCCACAGCTCACTTGTGAAGCGGACATCTCTGTCACTAATGATGGTCTTTGGTAAACCGAAGTCCCGCACCCAGTTCTCCTTGAACAACTTGATGACATAGTCAGTCCTGGCTGTCTCWGGCATGGCCACTAGTCTAGCGTACTTGGTGAATCGGTCAATGATGACGAATATGTGCCTCTTGCCACTCTTGCTGGTCACCAAGGTGTCCATGAAATCCATGGATACACTCAGTCCTGGACCAGCAGGAATAGGTAAGGGCTTAAACAACCCAAGCGGTGCTTGAGTGCGCGGCTTGTCCCGTTGACAGACCTGACAGGTCTCTACGTACTTCTTTGCATCATCGAACATACCAGGCCACCAAAATCGTTGTACTAGGTTAGCACTCGTCTTTTTGTAGCCAAAGTGCCCGGTTGCGTCATGACATTCGCCTAGAAATAAACTACGCAACTGTTCACTAGATGGAACCACTAACCTTTTTATTCCCGCCTTCTCAAGATAGAGTAACCCGTCCACCATCACAAACTCACTTTTTGTGGCCTTGTCTTTTGCCTGAAGTTTGCGAATGATGTCCATCGTGACAGGGTCTTCCTGATAGGCTCCCACCAATGATTGAGTTACTTCGTCAGATACGCCAAAGTCAGAAACTAGCGCACCTAGGTAGTCTGCTCTATGTGATAGCGTGTCTACAACCTTGTTGTACTCTCCCCTCAGGTACTCAAGCTTGAAGTCATATTGATCTATGACCTCTATCCACCGCTTGAGTGCGTCAGAAAGAGCCGGTTGAGTCTTGATCCATTTGAGGGTCTGATGATCAGTCCTCAAGTAGAAGAACCTTCCTAGAAGGAAGTGTCTCCAATGGACAAGTGCTTTATACGGAGCATAGAGTTCCCTCTCGTAGGTGGACTTTGCCAACTTCTTTGATGGCATCTTCTTGCTCATGTACTCAATCGGTCTCAACTTTTTCCCATCCTGCTGAGCCAGCACTGCGCCAATGYCGTATTGGCTTGCGTCAGTGGTCACTATGAATGGCTTCTGCGGATCGGGAACCATGAGAACCTCATGATTCATGAGTGCATGCTTCAATCTCTTGAAAGCACCCTCGCACTCATCACTCCAGTCCCACGGTGTGTCAAGTCGAGTTAGATCAGTCAAAGGAGAGGCGACTATAGAATAGTTCTTTACGAAGTTCCTATAGTAGCCGCACATTCCTAAGAATGATCTGACCTCAGTGACTGTCTGAGGTCGTGGCCAGTCTCGAATACTAGCCACCTTCGCATCTTACGGCCTAATTCCCTCTGCGGATACTTCATGACCCAAGTATAGTATCTTAGTGCGACCAAATTCACACTTCTCTAAGTTGACCTTATAATTGTGTTGTCGCAGGAGTGAGAGAACTGTCTCAACATGTTGTGCGTGCTCCTCGGCAGACTTACTAAAGATGAGAATGTCGTCAAGGTATACCACGACAAACTTATCTAAATGGTCATGGAAGATCCGATTCATAGCATGCTGGAACATACCCGGCGCATTACAAAGACCAAAGGGCATCACTACAAACTCATACAGACCATAACGAGTCTGAAAAGCTGTCTTGTGTTGGCCCTCAGGTCTTATTGCGATCAGGTGATATCCGGATTTCAAGTCTATCTTGCTATAGTACTTGCATCCCTGCACCCTATCCAATAGGTCGTCTATGCGAGGTAGAGGCTCTGCGTTTTTCACAGTGATGGCATTGAGGCCTCTATAATCAATGCACATCCTCAAAGTACCCCACTTCTTCAGTACGAATAGCACGGGTGATCCGTAAGGGGAAGTACTAGGCCGAATCCAACCCTTCTCTCTCAGCTCTTTAAGTTGTCGCCGAAGTTCATCTAACTCGCCGGGGGCCATCCTATAGATCCTTCCCTTTGGGGTCTTACTCCCTGGAATGATTTCTATAGCGTGGACGACTTCCCTTTCCACAACTCCTGTGGGCTCCTCGAACAGATSARGGAACTTAGCAACGMCGCGTTCTATCTCTGGGGGTGTTTTAACGGCCTCCCCCTTCTCAGAGACGTAAACAAGGTACATACCCTCYTCTTGGTTCTGCTTATAGTAGTTGTAGAACGCTGATGCGCACAAGCAGCCATAGGTATCTATAATACTACTGGCCTTGAACTTAGTCAATCTGACAGTTCGGCCATCCGGCAACTTACGCTTGAGCACCTTCTTATCCCAATCGAACTGGGGCTTAGCAACTTCGAGGTGGTACATGCCTAACAACATTTCAAATGGCAAGTCGTCGCTAACCAAGAACGAGATTTTATGGTTAAACTCACCTCCTCCATAGGAGAAGGTACAGACTATGTCCTTGATGTAGTCTGTTACAATCATGCGCTCCTTGTTCGCCAAAGTAGATGCTACAGATCTACTAAGGTGCCGTACCCGGTCCTGTAGGTGCAGCCTTTCCAAACAGTCGCGACTTATGTAATTCCACGTGCAGCCGATGTCTATGAAGGCACCACATTTGCGGCCTCCTACATCCTCTTCCACCACGAAATGTTCCCCTCTAGGACCTTTTTTCAGTGCCACCCAAGACTCGCGAGGGTCCTTGTTTGACCACTCACCTTCTAAATCTTCTAAGGCCTCAGACACATCTAACGTACAGAGCATAGTTTGGTTCAGTTGTGTCTGCGGGGTGACTAAGGGGTCATTAGCCTTGGCCTTGTCATGAAGTGGGGAGGGTATCAATCCTACTTCATCTTGAGTAGAAGCGACTAATACTTCCACTGGCCTCACGTGTTTCCCGAGCTAGAAGCCTGGGAATAAGTTGCCTCCATCTTTGGAGCAACCTTTTGCGTAACCTTAGCGTTCTGACACTTGTACTGTGTGTGTCCGTATTCCCTGCAGTTGATACAAGCGCCCCGCGTTCGGCGGTCACGCCACACGTCTTGATCAAGACCTGCCTTAACCCACTCAGCCTGTTTGGTCTGATTGGAGGCGGCCTTCCCTTGACCCCCAGGTTGGCCCTTCCCTCGGCCAGCCGCCTTAGTCTTGACTACTGCGGCGAGGGTGCTACCCTCAGCTACCTCCTCGCCGTCATACTCTGTATAGTCCAACAGGTCAGAGAGTTCGTCGATCTCAGTTTGAGTCCCATCTGACTCAACCATCATCAACTTAGCCCCCTTCTTCTTCCACTCCGGAGGACTCTTCTTCTTCTTCGAGTCATTCTGAGAGGTTGGTTGAGCATTGCCTAGTGTGGCCTCCAAATCTAAGGCTTTTCTAGACAGTGTCTCAAACGAGTGGTACTCAGTGCGTGCCTCGCTGGCTAGCAAGTTCCTAATGTTCTCTAGGAGACATCTGACAAACGTAGTCAATAGGAACTGGTCGTTGTAGTTAATGGCTGGGACGAGGATCAGGCTCTCAACGGTAGTCGTAAGCTCTCTAACCGACTTGAACTTTCGTTGGTCTAGTTTGTTAATGGCATAAGTGGCCCTTTGTGCCTCCTGTGGATTATGCCATCAAGCTTCTACCATTTCCATGAACTGGTCTAACGTTAGAGACTTAGCCCAGTCCGCCATGCGCCTCCCATACCCGGCCTTTACAACTACCCCATCTAGCCACTTGGCTGCCTTACCCTCAAGGTAGGATGCAGCAGTTACCACTTCGTCCTCAGGCAAGGTCCTCTTTGCCTTCACCCAAACCGGGACCGTTCTCAACCATGTGTTGAGTTCCTCATCCTTTCTCTCGCCTGAGAAGGCAAGACGCGGTTTCATCGGGGTTTTAGGATACCGTTGACCTTGCTGCTGTCCTTGTGGAGGGACAGGTTCTTGTGGTGATGTAGCAATCACTGCTGGACCCGAAGAAGAAGACGCAACAGTCTGTGAGACTGCTGCAGACGTACCACTTGGCTGTGTACCAGCTTGAACTGGAAAGGGGCCTGACATCGCCGATAACGGCAACGGCGATTCCGCTGGTGGCCTAAATCCTGGTCTTGTCAAAATGTCCAGGATCTGGTCCAAAGTGCTCTGCATGAAGTCCAACCTGCTGTCCACGTGCGCATGCAGCGACAGCATGTTGTCCCTCAACACTTTCATGGGCTCATTCATTCCTGAGTCATCCAAGCCCTCTAACTTAGCTTTGGCAGCCTCTAACGTATCAAGCCTGGCTGCTCTATTCTTTATCTCTTTCACCCTATCGGTTGTTTCTTTCAGTTCCCTCTCTAATCGTTCACGAATCCTTTCGACCTGCTGGAGCTCTCTGAGCTCCCTTTTGCGAGGAGTCAGCGGGCTGAACTGTGAGCCCGCCATTTGACTTGTAGACTGTCGTGATCCTACAGAACTCGAAGTGCCCGTGGACCCTGTTGGCATTCCCAACTGGGGTCCAGACGAGAACGCAACAGAAGTTGCAGCGGAGGATGCTGCTGCAGAAGACATGGCTGCTGCTGCAGCCTGTTCCCTAGCTGCAACGTTTGCTGCTGCTCTCGATGCTGCAAGAGCACGGGCTCTGCGTTCGGCACGAATGCGTCTTTCGTCTTCCGGTTGTAGGGCTTGGAACACGTGCGGGATCCTACGTGACCGCGAACGTGTTAGTCTACTATCGTCAACTCTCTCCTCATCGACGTCTGATTCGTTCATGAATTAGGCAAACATTATCTGTACTAGAACCCCCTAGTGGAGTCCTACCACAACATGTGTCTGACCGACACCTAATTTTCTAGATATAGTTGTGTCTGGCAGGTCCCCTACCGTACCGATCAAGTGGCATGTCTACAACATTCACACAGATTGTCTACATAGTCTAGATGTATTCTGATTGGTTCACTTACAACAGCCGTAGACAGAACTGGCTATGGTAGTATACAACAGTCCTAATGTAATGCTGTCTGTGAGGTGTTAGCAGTCTGTCCACCAACTAATCAAAGATACAAAAAGACAATGTGGCAGTTGTATGATGAGTGGGTATGGTTGTGTATTCAAATGAGCATCAATTGGAACCTACCCTTCCCCTCAAGCCAACATACCGGACAACATCAATGAGCAAGCAGTGTCTTCGAGTGTATTTCGGCCCACCCCTGTGCCTAAGTCGTTACCGAGCAAGCCAGCCCAACCACTCTTATGTACCCTCGTACGGCGACGAGCCTTCCTGTCCATGTGATCTGGCTGATCAGGAGGAATTTATAGAGCGCCCCCATCTCTGCAGGAATTATTTAACGTCGCAGTCAGGACGACGATCACAGCCAGATTCACAATGAACTCCCAACCAGAAATGTTTATAGACGGTCTGGTAAGCGTCTGTCATGGGCTGGCACACCCGGCAGGACTTCTATTTAGCGCAGCAAGTGCCAAAATGGACAGCAGCCATCGCATGCGTGACCTACTCCCATTGGGTTGGCATGGTGACCGTGACCCAGTGCTTCGACCAGGGCCCTTCAGAGGCACCGCCCTTTCTCCTTCCAGATGCTTCCGGGAAGATTGTCGTCTCTC